TATCGGGATAGATAATGGAGTAACAGTAATATTCTATGCTTAACATGAGGTGAGGACTTTATGCTGCTTTCAGATCTTAACAGCTATGAGTTGTCCTAAGCTGATGCAATTTTCCAACTAGTGTCAGCACTAGAAGCTCTGCTTGTCAAAATGAATAGCAGTGTATAAACAAGGAAGATATTTGGATGCTATCATTCAGATATTTGCACCAACCATCTCCATTTCACACATCATAAAATTAGTTCTCAAAGAATTAAGGAGATATGAAAATGATAGAAATGGAGACTCACTCAACAAATGTGGAAACAACCAACTTTACAGCCACCATTAATTGACAGCTATTATGAAAATCAGAACAGATAGACTAATCCTGTCTTTTTAACTGTGAAAGAAAACAACTAGAACCTCCTTACTGAACGTAAAATTAAGAGGCATCATTCTGAATGCCATGCACTTTTTGTCCCCTCTAGATAAGCATGACAAACTGCAGGTTCTGATGATTTACTAAACTGTATACAACTTTAGCTGGAACAACCAGTTAAAAAAAATTAATTTCCAGACTAGTATGCATTCTGTCCCGCAACATGCTGAATATTTTCCAATTTTGAATGGAGAAATAGATGTCTGACATCATACAAGCACAAACTTAAGAACAGATTTCTAGAAAAATAATGTTCCTTAACTTAATAGTAGACAATGTTAGCTGCAGAAAAGTCAGTTAAGACCACTTAACAGTATCAACCTGGCCCTAATACTGAGAGGGCCTGTAGATACTGCAACAAAATAATTCTGCTCAGGATGTCCTGTTTGATGCAAAAGAGCACTAGGCAGACATCTGAACAATCATCACGGACAGTGAACTGAATACAGAATGCAATGCCTTCTCCTCACTCTCAGCTTACCGTCACATTGCTGTGCTGGCACTGAAAAGTCTCCATGAATACTTTGCTTACAGCTCCAAAAGAAAGCCAACTTGACTAAACAGACATTTTGCTAAATTAAAATTGTAATTTACATAGAGAAATTACTATTTTAGAAGTGTGTTGTTTATCAACTGTTTTGACATTACTTTTGCATTTTCTTCAAAACATTGCTCTAGGAAAAACTCCTCTGTTAATAGATTTTCCTTGTTAATTTTAATAAGGATAACGTTGTGTGGCAACCAATGCACTTACCCAGACAACTTGTATGGAAACAGTAATGGAATTAACCATTAACTGTAACACTTAGCTGTTAGTCTTGCCGAAAATACAGTGAAAGGTCTCAACCAGTGTGTAACCCCAGTCACCTTTTCTTGATTAAGCTCATTAAAGGGACACTCAGCTGGCCTGAATGCTAGGTTCTGATACATACAGCATATATTAAGCAGCTGTTCCTTTTGGCTGACAGCACCATATTCTGACTCTATTACTATTGTATCAACACTACAAAAACCAGCTACTGGCACAAGCAATAAGCAGGCTTTGGCCTTTTAGTTAACAAAATACCAAGAAGCATAGCACTGATGCTTCTCTCACTCCTTCTCCAGTCTCAAATACACACAGTATAAGCTACTAAAATTATTATTAACCACCTCCCCTCCCCCTTTTAAAGAAAATTGTACACCTCCACACACCAGTCACGAGCGGTGTTCCCCAGGGCTCTGTTTTGGGGCCAGTCTTGTTCAATATCTTTATCAATGATCTGGATGAGGGGATTGAGTGCAGCCTCTGTCAGTTTGCAAATGACACCAAGTTGGGTGGGAGTGTCGATCTGCTGGAGGGTAGGAGGGCCCTGCAGAGGGACCTGGACAGGCTGGATCGATGGGCCGAGGCCAGCTGTATGAGATTCAACAAGGCCAAGTGCCAGGTTCTGTACTTCGGTCACAACAACCCCATGCAGTGCTACAGGCTTGGCGAAGAGTGGCTGGAAAGCTGCCTGGCTGAAAAGGACCTGGGGGTGTTGGTTGACAGCCAGATGAACATGAGCCAGCAGTGTGCCCACGTGGCCAAGAAGGCCAACAGCATCCTGGCTTGTATCAGGAATAGTGTGGCCAGCAGGAGCACAGAAGTGATTGTCCCCCCATACTCGGCACTGGCGAGGCCACACCTTGAATACTGTGTCCAGTTTTGGGCCCCTCAATACAAGACAGACATTGAGTTGCTGGAGCATGTCCAGAGAAGGGCAAGGAAGCTGGTGAAGGGTCTGGAGCACAGGCCTTATGAGGAGCAGCTGAGGGAAGGAACTGGGGTGGTTTAGTCTGGAGAAGAGGAGGCTGAGGGGTGACCTTATTGCTCTCTACAGCTACCTGAAAGGAGGTTGTAGTGAGGTGGGTGTTGGTCTCTTCTCCCAAGTAGTTAGCGATAGGATGAGTGGAAATGGGCTCAAGCTGCACCAGGGGAGGTTTAGGTTGGATATTAGAAAAAATTTCTTCACGGAAAGGGTGGTCAGGCATTGGAACAGGCTGCCCAGAGAGGTGGTGGAGTCACCATCCCTGGAGGTGTTAAAAAAATGTGCAGACGTGGCACTTCAGGACATAGTTTAGTAAGCATGGTATTGTTGGGTTGATGGTTGAACTGATGATCTTAGAGGTCCTTTCCAACCTTAATGATTCTATTCTAGTTTTACTTTCATTAAAAAAATAATTCAGCCACCAAGCCAGGAAACACAAAATTAATTATTACTCTACCCTTAATTGGTTTAGTGGTGGACTTGATAGTGTTAGGTTAATGGTTGGACTTGATGATCTTAAAGGTCTTTTCTAACCTAAATGATTCTATGATTACACAGTTTAACATAAGCATTTCTGTTTGTTACTAGACATAATACACTTTGGAAATTGGCAACCAAGTGACAGATCCCACTGGTAAACTCTTCATGATCTGCTTCAAGGAACAAGCCCTGTTCTGCAACCAAGCTAGACCTATTCCACACCCATACTTGACTAGCCCCCTCTCAAGCACCAACACCACTTAGTATTTAGGTCAATTCCTAATTTATTTCTAATGCCTGGTGCCTTCAAGATGCTTGGCTCACCCACAGGCCTCGTCACACATGGTCCCTCCACCCCACCCCACCAGACAGGCTTTCTGGCTGTGCCTTGGCAGAGGCTGTCATGCACACAGCTACCTACTCAGCATCACCATTGTCCTCAGCATCCTCAGAGGCAGTTGGGAAGACTAAATCACAGATCCCTCTCCCTGGAACCCTGGATCCTCTCTGCCAGCCCAAAGAGACATTAAGCCTTTAGTTAAGATATTTTACAAATATTTTCTTGAGACATAGTGGAGTGCAACAGCTCTGTCCCACAGCCCAACACTCGAGCTTGCACAGCCTAACACTGAAGGCAAGGACTGCGTGCAGGCCACTGGAGGTATGCACTCTGTGCAGAAGCAGAAGGTACAACATAAAGGAACTTGAGAGCACAAGACCTGCCAGCTTAGCACTGAAGGACCAGGCCAGCAAAGAAAGGACACAGGACCACATCGCTCTACCTGGGTTGCACATTGCTATGACTGCTGCTTCCAGACTAACTGTGGAAGCACTGCCAGGTTGAAGGACACCTGGGGAGAAAACTCACCATGATGCAACTCAGAGGGACTTCAGAAACAGTCTAAGCAACAGTGGGTGATTGGGAGCTGTTTCCTAGAAGGAAACATGATCCAAACTGATAGCGCTAACACTCGCACTCCCTTTGTTCCAAAGTACATGTAAATGGTCACTGCAAAAAATGTAATTGGAAGGAACATCCCTAAAGGATTTACTCTAAGATATATTTAATTTGATTAGCTAATATTAGAAGAATGGCAGATTTAAATCCTTTCCAAGCTGACAAAAGATTTCACGCTCCTGCTGAGGAATATGCCTACTAAACCCATGAGAAAGCTCAAGTCTGGTACTTGTTCCAAACCAAAGAAAAGCTACCAACTACAAAACAGTTCAGTATTTCTATTCAAACATTCGAGAAGATTTTCTGACGCACAGATAATGTAACAATCCAGTAATTCAACAAAAAGTGAATCACGTGTACACTCCTCCTGGTTCCCACCAGCTTCAGCGGAAACAACTGTAACCTTGATATTTCCCCAAGTGTTAACAGCTTTTACTATAACCAGGCAGAACTAAATACTGCAATATATTGAGGTTATTATCCAAACTGGAAGGCTTACTGTTGGGGGGGGAACAGCAACAGGACACTACACCCCAGTACTCATACATAACATTTTGTGTGTCGCTTTCAAAGTGAAAAGGAATGCAAACAATACTGCACTAGGTCCACATGGCCACAGTTTTCCATTACATCTATTTCAATTTACTAGCAATTTTTGCTAAAGGGAAGGTCCTGCTCCTTCCTTCAACTCTCATTTCTCTCCTGAGCTCTACTCCTTCTGCAGCCACTGGATGAGTTGTATCAGCCTCTTGGTTCAACACAAGCTCACCCACAGAACACCTTCCAGCAGATTACGGCACAGCTCCAACTTACCTCAACACTGTGTAACTGCTACCGCAGACCCAAAGGCAGGGGACAGGAACACATGGCAGGGGTAGAGAGACAGGTGAGGGAACAGGATTACCATTTTCCAAGGTAATTAGACACTTCACAGCTTACTAACCAAAGATATGAGAAAGATTTAAATATACTGAGGTGAAAAGCAATAATCTAGGCCATAGTTTTCTTTGCTTTGTCTTAACACTATTATCAGAAATTTTACAGTTTTCTCATGCAACTGCAACTGCCAGCACTCCTTTGCCACCTGTTCCTTTCAATATACAGCTTTGAAAATGCTTTTTCTCCCAGATTCGGTCCATTTTCTGTCTGAAGAGCTACCCACTTCATGCCACCATCATACATCTTCCCACTTTTAGCCTTCCAGTAGCTCTTCACCCTATGCCCATTAATAATGTTAATGCTGTATTATCCATCTTCGACCTCAAAATAATATAGACAAATGGCTGCTCACCATGGAATGAGCCAGGGCTACAGAACAAAACAAACAAAAAACATATCAACATCTCCTTACCTTTTGTGCTTTATCCTTCTGAAATACAAAGACAGGTGGAGCAATGGCAGGTTTTTCTGTAAAAAGAGAAATCATTGGGTTTTTTCCAACCACATTCATTATTGACTAACATGAAAACGTTATGTTCTATGATGCTTTTACCAACAATGAATCCCTAAACCAGTTAAATCTCAGTTACACAAATTGTTTCCACTGGTTCCTGGTAATGTAATTATAAGGACTTGATCTTCAAAAGGAAAAAGGAGTGCTTTAAGAGCAATACAACTGATATCTGAAACCTATTTGTCTTTTCCCTCCAGACCTCTCTATTTCAAACCAGTATTTTTACCATACTTAGGTACATCAGGAGGAAAAGGCTCTTTGCTGCAGCAGTTTACTTTTTGAACACACGTAAGTTTTGCAGGCAAAAGCTTTTCCTCCCTCACAGTAATGCACTAATGCAAAGGGAGTTTAGCAGTACACACCCACATACCCCTTTCTTAAAGGTCACCTAACTCTGACACTTTGATTATACTTGTATTTCATTATCATTGAAACCTTGCAGGTCGACAATTTAAACCAAATATTCCATGCATATTATTACAGAGGGACGAGTCTTTTCTGCATAATTTAAGAGCACATCTGCTTTCTACTTGACGTTCCAATTCAAATATTAGCGGGATGCTATTTTCTAAATAAGCACATCAACATTTAGTCTTCAAGAACAGAATGAATTTCTAGAATGAGTGTATATTTTCCATTGTCCTCAATGACCTCAAAACTACCTCAGTGTCCTTAATGACCAAAAGGGGGGGGGGGGGAGGGAGGAATAAAGCAGAAGTGAGCTTTCCTGAGAGTTTAACAAACTGATACACTTTGTCCATGAGTTATATTTGAAGAGAAACTGCACATACATTATGCAGTCACCAACACTTTGTAGGGCTAAAGATGAGTACAACATTTAAGTCTGTCTACAGAGTGAGACTGCTGTGAAACAATGTGATTCAGGGAGAGCTGTATTGTGGCTAATGCCTTTGCAATTATTCAGTCTTAAACAAGACCAGACATTTTAAAAAAAATTAAATTTTTTAAAAGCTTTTAGAACTTGAAAGTCTACCATAAAAACAGAAATATAAAGGCATCAAGAAGAATTACCTTGCACCTTAAAAAAAAACCCCAAAAAACAACAGTATCACAAAAGCCTCCACAAATCAGTTGCAGCATCAGTAAAGCACTTGGGTCAGCATATAAGGAAAAGGGGATGAGATTGTCCATTTCGGAACTGCTAGCTGCTAGATCAGTTTAGCTGAAAAAGTGAAACTTTACCTGACGAACACATAAGAAGTATGAAAATTATTCCAAGAACTCTGCATTTATTTGTGAGGGCGGAAAAGGCTCTTTCCACTCTTCTGTGGGTCTAACTCAGAGGTATAACCCAGCAAAAACATTGCAAGACTGATTTTTGCAAGAATGGCATAACTTGTTCTACAAAAGGTAAAATTAACGGTGAGATAAACAGTCTTATTACAGCATTTTGCCTGCTCTTTTTTTATTTTCTAAGTTCTTCTATCCATCAAATACTGCTGAATCTTAAGAATGCTTATTAATGAGAGCAATGCAGACAATCTATTTCAAAATGAAAAATAATCTACTAATGAAGGTCAAAGACTTAACTGCTGTACCTGTCCCAAAAAACAGAGTTCACTGAAACAAGCCAGGGATTTTGATTCCCTTGGCCTCAGTATAACCTGCCTGTGGGAGGCTCCACTCGTGTAAGGTCCAAGCTTTTACCCCTTTACTTCAAAGTGATGTTCACGTCTTTATACTATATTTGGTATACTTTAGTATTCATTAATGCTATAACTACAGCAACAAGTAGCATGTGTTCTACCAAACTACTTTCATCCAAGACTGCCAAACCAGTCAATAAAATGCTGTATTAATATTCTTCCCTTCTGGAGATCTGCCTGAAAGTGGGACTTGATCGTGTAACGCACAACATACAAGAGACTCCTGTACCAAATTCCACAGATACCAAAGAGGACCAAACAGAAAAGAACTACTTGTCTCTTTAGTGCTCAATAAAGTATTGAAGTACTGAGAGAGAAGAAAGCAAACAATAAAAAAGCAGATCCAGCAACAATGCAAAGTGCAGAGGAAACATGGGATGGCTGGCAAAAGACGAGAATGGGGAGCCAAAGATGTTGTTGCAAAGGAACAGGACAAAATAGGAGATGGAGTCTGGCAATGGAAGACTGAGTACTCAGGAAGAAAAGAACAGGGATGCCAGGAACAGCAGAAAGCTCACAGGAAAAAAATTATTGGATGGAAGAATCAAAGAAGAAAATGGAGTGGAAAAAAAATTAAATATTCCAGATTGTGTCCAGCTACGGCAAATGAGACTGGGAAAAGAAGCTAGTAAAACAAACTATGACCAGTCCTGTTAGTCAGGGTGGAAAAGATAACACTCTTGTGCAACATATGGCTGTCTATCCACTGAAGGAACACAGTCCTCTCACACTCAAGATCTAGGAATCTCACTATTACTCTTGCTGGCTGCGAGACCAACTGACATGATGGCACCTGGGAGGAACGACGATGAGACAGGAGGCACTCAGGGCTACCAACTTCACCAGTGCTTAGTCAGGCGTGTTCTTTACAGGGGAACACTTGTTCACCATGTCCTTTCTAAAGTCTGCAACAAGACCACAATGCTGGAAATGTTTCCCTCATTCTAGCCCATGGCAAGAAGGGATCACTAGATGGTCTAATCTGGCCACCTTCATTAAACACTGCATATTTTTCTGAGCCTTACTGTTTTGGGGAAACATTTTCAAAGGCATCAATTACTGAAGACATTAAAAGCAAAGTATCAATACCCTCAACCATCATTACCTCACTTGGTAAAAAACTCCAGTACCAAACTTCCCATTCAAACGTCTGGCTTCAGCTGTGTTCTGATTCCAAGTTAGGTTTTTTAAATGCATTTATGTACTAGATAAAGAGCTCTCTAGTATTTAATGGTTTTCCTACGAAAGCACTTACACAATCCATGTTTTCCTATCAACTGAAGAACCACCACAACAGGTTTTATTTTTGTAGAACAGAAATGCATATGTTAAGTAGTGGTTGGGTTTTTTTTCCCCACATGGTGAGCATGGAAGCTTACTAAGTGCTACTCCAAGACAAGAATTACACTGTTGTTTGTACTAGCCAACAGAGGTGGATGGCCATTGTTCTCACTTAGCAAGCATGCTCCCATTCCACCAAGGTGTCTGAAGGATGACCTACAGTAAAATAGATCTGTCAGGTCCACAGAACTGTCATCAAGTTAAATGGAAAATAAAGCAGGATAAGGGAAGGAAAAAAAAACCCCAACCTTCAAACTTCAGGTACAACACCTGTAAAAACATGAGATCTTCTCCTTCACCTGAGAGATGAATAGACACAGCACATAGTTCTTAGAAATTGTGGAACAGACTTGTTTTTTCTCCAGACAAGCATATAGAAACAAGGCAAAACCAGGAGCTGGAGATGCAGAAACAATGTCAATTTTCTAACCAAGTCAGTCTCAGTAAAGGTTTTCTGAGAAAGCCCAAGCACATGAGAAGGAAAGCAGGCCTTTAGTAATTACTGTCATAGAGACAGTAAGTTCCCAATCTGAAGATCTGGAACTCATACAAACCACTTAGTTTCTTCTGAATGGCGATACGCTGTCAAACCAGTCTAAAAAATGACTGAATCCACAGAACTCCTTCAGTTTATTCATAAGTTTCAGACATTTCAACCTGCATGAATCATTACAAAAACCTCAAGAGCTGCCTTTCACAGGCTAAATTCCTTTAACATATTTCACTGTCGAGTCATTAACTATCAATATATGCCCTATGCACTGTCAGAAACATGTATGTACCATTAAACCTACCCAGCTTGCTTCGCAAGCCTTGGAAAACAAAACACAGAAACTGAAAATACTAAATGGCTCAGGCAGAGGTACTGTCTTCAAGTCATCTATACCATTTAAAGTGAGATCTTTAACTCAGATATACTACCATTTGTAGCTGTGCCAAACTCTGCGATGTCAACTGTGTTTCCTGCAACTAGACGAAACATAGCATTGTTTTACCTCTCCACCAGTTCACACCAATGCAACCATAGCAGTTGGTGGCCTCTCTAGCAGCCACAATAGTTATTTTTGCAATACAAAGTTTTAAACCTTCACTGCAAGATGAAAAATCCAATGGGTATTTTGAGTGTACAGATACAAACACCACACCCCTTTTGAATCCATATTTGAAGGCCACATAAGTGAAAAGACGAAGTAAAACTGCACAAAACGGAGAGGAAAAAAAACCCAACTGGTATACTGCAGAGGCGCATTTCTCTGTATAGCAGGCTCAGAGTAAATCCCATGGCAAAGCAGTGACAAAGGCCAAGATAGCATTCTTCTCCTTTGCCACCAAGACCATTGTGTCTCTACCATAAGAGCACAGGATAATTCAGGTTGGAAGAGACCACTGGAGGTCTCCAGTCCAACCTCCTGCTCCAAGTAAAGTCAGCTGCGAAGTCAGTCCAGGTTAATCAGGTTATCCAGTCTGGTCATCTTAGCTTCCAAGGATGGACGCTGAGCAGGCTCCCAGGGTAATCTCTTCTACTGCTTGACTGTCCTTATGGTGGAAGACACCCAATAAAAAAACCAAAACCCCCAACCTTTTCCCTATATCCAGTCTGAGCATCACATTCCACCTCTCATCTTTTGTCCTTCCAACATACACCACTGTGATGAGCCTGGCTCTGTCTTATTAACAACCTCCTCATATGCCCTGGAAAACTCCAAATGTGCCTCTCTGAAGGCTTCTCTTCTCTAGGCTGAAGAAGTCCAGTTCCTGCAGCCTCTCCTCACAGGTCATGCAACCCAGATCACCAACCACCTTGGTGACTCAAATGAATCTTTAGATTTTAGAAGGAACCCAGGCCCTATGTCATGAAAATAACTCTCAAGGCCTCACTGGACCCGCTGTAGACAGGTTATTACAAGGT